TTTATGTGTATGTACTGAAATATTACAATGTATACTACAAAAATATGCAAGTATTTCAGGTTAATAATTTTTGAATAAAATGATTTCAGAATTTTCTTGAACTGTAGACACACAAACAAGAATATATGTAAAAACTGATGAAATGGGGCCAGGATTGTGGGGCAAGGAGTTAAGCTGCCGTATGTAGTGCTGGCATCTTATATCAGAACACCCACACCAGTCCCAGATATTCTGCTTCCAACCCAACTTCATGCTAATTCACCTAGGAAAACAGCAGAAGATGACCCATTTACTCAGGCCCCTGTCACCCATGTGGGAGACACAGATGGAATTACAGACTCCCAGCTTTAGCCTGGACCAGATTCAGCCATTGCATTCTTTTGGGGAGTGAACAGATGGAAGATCTCTTTCTCTGTGTGCCTCTCCATCTTTCTGTGTCTCAATGAATTTCAAATAAATAAAATTAATCTTTTAAAAATAGCTTTAAAGATTTATTTATTTGAAAGTCAGAGTTACAGAAAGAGAGTGAGAGACAGTGAAAGAGATCATTCATCTGTTGGTTCAGATGGCCACAATAGCCAGCACTGGGCCAGGCTGAAGTCAGGAGCCCAGAGCTTCTTCCAAGTCTCCCATATGAGTGTCAGAGGCTCAAATACTTGGGCCATATTCAGCTCTTTCTCAAGCCATCAGCAGGGTGCTGGATCAGAAGTGAAGCAGCCAGTACACAAAAATGTGTCCATATGAGATGCTCACATTGCAGGCAGTGGCTTTACCTGCTATGCCACAATGCTGTCCCCTAAAATAAATCTTTAAAAAACAAACTGCTGAATTTAGGTGAGATCTGTAGTCTAGTTAATACACAGTGTTCTACCAATGCCAGTTTTCTGATTTTGATATTATACTATAGTCTTACAATTTCTTATCATTGGGAAAACTGAATGAAGAGTGCTCAATGATTCTATATTATTTTTACAGCTTGATATGAGACTAAAATTACTCCAAATTAAAAAGTTTAAAAGACGTCCTGTTGAACTGCACTGATGTCAATGAAGAAACTAGTAAAAATGTATCTGATTTTTCATATGTAAAACACTTTTACAGAAGTTATCCTAAGATTTACTATATCTTGACTTTCCACAGTATTTATTGTCACAAATGTTGATCCACAATCAAGAAATAGGTTTTTCTTTTGGTTTTGTTTGGCATAAAAATTGTTCTCTGGCTTTGGGAAGTGCAATTACAAACCTTCAGAAGCCTGTCTGGAAAAAATATGTGGTCATTCTTCAGCCACTGAACTGAATCCACTGTTGGAGCCAGCTCTAAAGCAAGGCATTCAGAAAGTTTCATTGTTAAGACCAGGCCAACTCTTTACTCTGACTTGTCCACAGAAATGCACAGCATTGCTCCAATTTAAAGCCAGTAAAGAAAAATCCAGCCAGAAAAGGGAGCTCTTGTAGACTGTAGATGGGAATATAAATTAGTACAGCCATTTTGGAAAACAGTAAGGAAGGTTCTCAAAAAACTGAAAATAGAAACACCATATGATCCAATCATCCCAATTCTTGGATCTGAAGAAATTGAAATCATTATGTCAAAGAGATATCTGCACCTTCATGTTCTTTTCACCACTTTTCACAATAGATAAGATATGTCTTCACATATGGTTTGAGTTTGTCCCCCAATAATTCATGTGTTGAAAGTTTTGTCCCCAGTGTGCAATGCTGGGAGGTGATAACACCTTGAAGAGATAGAACCTAATGTAAGGTGGTTAGGGCATTAGGATCACTGCTTCAGAAGGGATTAATTTAGATTTTATGGAACTCCAGTTAGTTCATGCAAGAGTGAATTGTTACAAAAGAGCAAAATTGGCTGCTCCCTGCTCTCTCTAACTTCCTACTTCACTATATAAATTGTTTTGCATTCACTACCACCATTGTGAGGCTGTCTGCCCTACGTCCTTATCCAGAGGCTGAACCAATTGAGCTGTTGGATCTTGGGATTTCTGCCTCCAAAACTCTAAACCAAACAAACCTCTTTTCTTTAAACGTTACCGAGCCTCAGATATTTTTTTGGCAGTGGAAAGTGGACTAATATATTATGAATAAAATATAGAACTCAATGATGGATGAATGGAAGAAGAAAATACAAATACATATATACACACAATGGTGTATTACACAGCCATAAAGACAAAAGGAATTCTGTCATTCATAACAACATGGGTAAAACTAGGAAAAATTAAGCTAAGTGAAATAAGTCAGGCACAGAAAGACAAATATTGCATGGCTTCATGTTCATGTGTAGTCTAAATCTTGTTGCTCTCATGTAAACATAAGGTAGAAAAGTGGTCCCTAGAGGCTGGAAAAGAGAAGAAAGCTGTGAAGAAAGGGAAAATAGTCACCAAAGTGTCAAAGTTTCAGTTAGATTGCATGAATCTGTTTTAGTGATCCATTGTACTTCATGGTGACCACAGAATAAAAATTTATTGTACATTTCAAAATTGATAAAATAATAGATTTTAAATATTATCGCCAGAAAAATAGATCAGATGTTAGAGAGGTGATGGGTATGTTAATTAGCTTGATTGAATTTCTCTACAATGTATACAAGGATTAAAATATCACATCATGCATGTGCAATTATTATCTGTCAATTAACACCAGTTTCTCAAAAGAAGATAATTAAAGTAAACTCATCTATAGACATTACCAGGGTAAATATGAGACATATTTGTGATTAATTTTAAGAAGTAATCAGATTCTTCTCAGAACATAAATAAGAAAGAAATCTCACTCTTTGGGTTGTTCATAGGTAAGTTCATAGGTTTTTGGCTTGGCATGAAGCACATACATACATTATCAGTGCATGTAGTAAGATTTCCCTTTCCACTACATGGTAACTTCTTCCCCTTCGTTCCCATTTCCCACTTCCCTCTATCACCTAGTATGTTTGGAAATGCCAACCTTCCTCATTTAAAAAATGAAAAAGCCAGCTGATAAACCTAACTCATAAACTCATTGACTGAATTGCCATTAGCTTAACATTTATCAGCTGGCAGGAATATGTGCATTTCAAGAAATAAGAATTTAAAATGGCTTTTAGTAACCTCTGGGAAAATATTACTAATAGTGGCATTTCTGGTTCAAGGCAGACAGAGGCAGTGTAAGGAAATACATCAGACTGGGGGTGCCTCAAAATAATACGCTCAAGCAGTTGCCAATTTGGAAGTCTAATTCTAGTGTTATGTTATTGGTTTATACCCCTAGAAACTACAAGTATTATTTTCCAATCTTGAGCAGTAATTTTGACCATGTGGAAAAATGTCTCGAGCTCTAGCAGTAATTTCTTTCTCAGTCTTCCTCCCTCGCCCTAGGGCTCTACAATTCAGTAAATGTCTAGTCCCTACTAAGCACCAAGTTTGAGCTAAACTTTGCTTTTAAGGATACACAGATGATTAATTTCCCCCACCCCCAACACAGTCTCAGTATTTCATTGTATAGCTAGCCTCCTCCTCATTGAATTAGATAGGGGAAGGAGAACCAATTGAGAAGAAAAAATTCCATCCTGAGATTACAAATCTTCTGAGAATATCCTTTTTTTTTCACACAGTTCCACCAAAACTAACTTCTGAGGAAAATCTGTGCAAGGAGTACTGCTGACCTCAGCTCTTCTGGAGATCCCCAGAGCCATGCAGCTGCTTAGCCTGCTCATACACTGTCCCAAGTTTCAGTCACTTTAGAACTACTTTGAGGGAGGAAAAACTCCACCTATACTTGCGGTCGGAGAGATTAGGCAAAGCTACTTTCAATATCCAGTATTATGGTGCCACTTGGCAACCATAATATACAGATAGGGCCATCCTGTGAGTCATGCTCATGTAGTCTACAGCTGTTAGTAACAGTTTTTTTTCTGGAAAAAAAATAAGCTAATCATACAATAAAATCTTTATTCTTATATTTCACAAGAAAAATTTCATTGAGGCACCTTTTAGTAAAAGGAAATGTAGTATGACCAACTTTTTCATTGGAGGAATTCAGTATAAACTGAATATATTAATTTGCTCATATATTTATGTGGTGGTATAACTAGGTCTCACTGATCTTAAAATGGCTTGCACTAACTTCTGTAGGATTACATAAAATTTTACATATTGGAAATAAAAGTTAGCTGTTCAGTTAAAAGTTAGCTGACTTTTAACAAGAACAACGGCTCTTATTATTTCAAATAAGGAAAATGGAGAGAATCCCTTCTTTAAAAAGAAAAGACAACAAAATGCTTGAAGCCCATTACTAAAATGTTTCCCATGTTTTCAACTTAAAAATACACTCAAAGAAATGTTCATTGTAAATTGAGAATCAGCCCCACTGAGATTGGACAGCTGTGCTAGCTTCTACGGTTTGACGAAAATCCTTTTGTGCTATTTGAAGCCATCACATCCCACCCGAGAATGTACACATGGAAAATGTCCCAATCCAAGAAAACATGTCAAATCTCATCTTATGAAAAGATTTAGGTATTTAAATGTATTTACTATCTAATTACCACTTAATTTGGTTGACAGAAACCATGGATTTAAAATTTTAACTTTATTTTACCCAACTGCTCACAGTAAAAGAAATGCATTTAATCAACCACAATCTAAAGTTTAACATAGAATTGTTATGAGCAGTGTTTAATATAAGTCTGGACTCCTGGTTTTTGTCAATGACATATTAAATTGTAGAGAAAGGAGCTTTCTATCTAGACAGCCACATTTCCTTTCACAAAGCATGCAGCAGTTTCAGTGAACATTTTAAGCACTTAAACTTATAAATAGATATTACCTCACTGGAGTCTCCATTCTTCAAAACAATATATTCCCCGAAAGGTAAGATTTTAGCAGATTCACAGTTATATTTTTCAATGGAAGTAGCAGAAAAGTTCACATTGTTTCAATTCACAGAGATTTTTAAGCTCTGTGGGTTTTTTTTAATGTATAAAGAGAAAGCCAAGAACCTTACCCTTTCTACCCAGATATCCTGTAGAGAAGTGCAGGCTTGTTCAGCTACAAGAGGAAGTAACGTAGTTTATTCAGCAAAACAGGAAAAAAAACAAAATCGTTTACCTCTAATAGGAGGTAGAACTGTTCGTCAGCATCACTCAGTTGTTTAGGAAAGCATTTCCCTCAGAGGATATTGTGGGCAAAGAAAATTCAAATTTTGGCTTTGATAAATTCAGAGTTTCCATGATTTGTACACTTCTTCAATCAGGAACAGAATGTCTGACTTTAATTTGCCACGTATTACCATAGTTTTCTCAGTCTATTTTGAAAGTTTAAATTTTGGACTATGCAAAATCCAGCTTAACTGTCACAATTTTACTTTGTCATTTAAAAAATGAGCGGTAATGTATTTAAAATAAAAATGACTTTTTTAGCAGAGAGCAATAAAAATCTATTTTTACACTGATCCCCCATTGTCTGTCCATTGTATTTTGTTCCTTACCATGACTTCTTCCTGCTTCAATCTTGCAAGGCTGGGGGAATTCATTTTCATCATCGCTCTGAAGGGTCTTAGTTAGCCATAGCTTGCTAAACTTATAGAAGATATTATACTCCCAGACACCATTAGATATCACATGGAGACAACGACTGCTGTTTCCATCTAAAGACATGAAAGGTCATATGTCTTTGCTATGGTGCTTGGAAAGAGAATGTGTCAAAAATGCACTGAGCTTCCTGCTATGCACACGCCCATCTTACTATATCATCATCTTTCTTCTTCCTTTTTTTCTCTCATGCATGCATCCATGTGAGTCAAATATAATAGTTAAGCTAGTTGTATGAAATAAATTTTTCCAATCTATATAAAAATGTTTAGGCCACATTGCTGCACTCTACCATATTGTTTGTTTCAAATGTTAAAGCATGGTAATAATAGGAACCTTATTGGGAATTAGGGAAAACCTTATTGGCTCTCCAAAATGGAATGATTTGAGGTCACCAGAAAGATTGTGCTTAACATTGCCTCTCATAAAGATGACTAAAGTTACTCCTTTAGGAATTCTTTTGGTTTAAAAATTTTACTCTGAATACACTTGTCTTGGAAAATGATAATTTCACCACATTAAATCCTTAACATCATATTGGAAATATGTTGTCTGGGTAGCCATGTGCATGGGTGGAAGAGCAGTAAGATGCCTAAAATGGGGAAAACTTACCAGAAAGGAGCGGAAGGGATTTCAAAACAAACATGCAGGATTTCATAATCTCATTGTCATTGACTCCTTTTGGTAGGATTAACCAACAGTCATTTACAAACTGTTGCCTGAAAAGATCATTAAATGCAGCTAATGAAAAGTTTTGATTCCAAAAAGTAGGTGAAATATTTAAAGTATATCTCATTAATTTCTCCCTAAAATGTTGACTTTACTATTGATGCTGTTGTAACTTGAGGATCTAAGCTTTTAAGTGGCCCTCAGGGACTTCCTTTTGCTTTGGGGTATTTTTCCTTTTATATATAAAGGTTATTTTGTATCTGTTTAAAATGAAGAAAATTCAAATGGTCATGATATAATCCATGGGGCCTCAAAATGTTTAACTTAGAATAATGTAAACAAAGCCAGGGCCACTGCATAAGGATATATAGTGGAAAACAATGAAAATTTGAAATGTGCACAGGAGTTGAAATTTAAGCCAATCAGTTCTCTAAGCTGTTCACAGGGCTGCTTCACTTGGAAGAAAATGTTCAATTTTCTAATTCACAAATCACAAAACTATTCTAACCAGAAGACCATGTCAGAATGGAGGGGATTCCTTACTGTAATTTTATAAAGAAGCCACATAGAGTAGAGATGATCCTGATCAAATTATTATTTTTAGACAAACTGAAGATGATATCTGGATAGATTGGTGAGGAAGTGAGTCTGAAGGCAAGTGAATGAGTCATAAGTATTGTAATAATCCAAACATGAATTGATAAGGATGTAGAGTTGGGAACTATCATGGACAGTTGTCAGCTAAGGTTAAGAAACACTCAAACCAGAAGGTGAGTTAGGTTATTGGAAAAGAATAGACTGAACTGTTATTACATCAAAAGAAAGTAGTCAGGAGATCAGCTGCTTTAGGAGGTGGTTATGACAATCATATAATGGAACTGCCTAACCACATGACTGAGCAGACATCTAGGTTTATGCTTTCTTCGCACTAGTTTCTCTGATATTCAGGGCTAAATTTAGGCTTCAAATTCCTCATTCCATATTTCTACCATAATCCCCTCTTGCCCTTCATCTAAATTAGGAGATCCTAGTTGTGATTCCCTGAACCTCCCTCTGTAGGTTCATAAAACTCTTGGAACCCTGAGCAACAGTTGACAGGCTTTTACTGCTATTGTAATATTGATTTTAGGCCGGCACCGCGGCTTACTAGGCTAATCCTCCGCTTGCAGTGCCCTGGGGTTCTAGTCCTCGTTGGGGCGCTGGATTCTGTCCTGGTTGCTCCTCTTCCAGTCCAGCTCTCTGCTGTGGCCTGGGAGTGCAATGGAGGATGGCCCAAGTGCTTGGGTCCCAACACCCGCATGAGAGATCAGGAGGAAGCACCTGGCTCCTGGCTTTGGATCAGCGCAGCACACCAGCTGCAACACGCCGGCTGTAGCAGCCACTTGGGGGGTGAACCAATGGAAAAAGGAAGACCTTTCTGTCTCTCTCTCTCTCATTGTCTAACTCTGCCTGTCAAAAAAATATTTATTTTAAGTGCCATGTTTTAGAATTGTTTTCATTTTACTGCAAAGGGGGGTGGGGAATTGAGCATGAGACATATATAGATGATAAAGAAATGAATATAAGATCGATAGATATAGTCAGTATCATTGCAGTATTTGACAGAGAATTAAATAGATTGGAGTCATCATTTTCAGAATAAAGTAAATTAACAGTTCAATTAGTCTCAGAATCACAGTTTAAGTAGTAGGGGAAGGGAATGATGGGCTTCTCTTTTAAGTCTCACATTCCATCATACAGAAGTAATTCTATATAAGTAAAATGAAAAATTGTGATGGTGATGAGAAGAAATAATTCCCAAACTTCTACTGTCTATTGGCTGTGAGTAAACTCAGTTTAGCAGAATGTGTGCTGAAGAGAAACAAGAAGACAAGACACTTCACTGTACTGCAGACTGCAGCAAATAGGATTGGTGGTAGTTACAGTTGGATGGAAGGAGTTTGAGAGATGTCATAAAGGAAGAAGCAACAGAATTTTGTATCTAACTGGCTTGAAGGGTGAGGGAGAAGGAAGGATTCAACACATACGGTATTTGGGGCCTGGGTCACTGAATAAATGACAGCATCATAAAAGGGAAATGGCGCATCATTCATCTGTTTAAGAAGTTTTTACTGAATGTCCACTACTTGTAATTCTCTGCTTATGTGACCTCTACCCCCAAGGATTGTTTGTTTAACATATTAGGGTTTATTTTCCTACTAGGATGGACTCCATTAGAAAGGAATCTTAGCACCTTTTAGAAGAGTAGATAAGGGAAAAAGAAGAAAGGAAAGCTCAAGGATAATTTATCTGATAGCCAAAAGCTATTATTTTCACAAGAATGCAATAAACACATATAAATTAAGAATTTATTTCCTCTCATTGATAAGAGCTGCTCCCGCACATCTTTATTTGAGCCCTTGCTTTTATAAATCTCTCTGATTGAGAAACAGCTCAAGAGAATCCAGTGTTGTTCACTTATTTGGGGGTGATGGAGGTAGCCTGTAGTCTCCTCTAAACAACATTGATTCCTTCTTGACACTAATAGACAAGAACCATTGTCAGAGAAATCTGTGGTGTTGCATCATTGTGTTCAAGGAAATGGTTGATTAGGAGCAATTGATCTAGATTGTAGGTTGCTTGATATATCCAGACCAGAGCAAGTTAATCTGCCCCAAGCCCTGTCATATATTTCTGTGAAATTGAAATATCAGGGTCCTGTTTCCACACTTTCTACAGTTGTTGATGAGATGTCAATACACTTGTAGTTGCTTTTCAAATTTACAGCATTGGCTCAGAGACACTTTTTTTCTTTAAATTTGTTCAAAATAATTTAAAAATGAAATTGTGTTTTCCCATGGAGTGCTGAAACCTTCATATATGGGCATGGAGCAATTAATTCAGACATTTATAAATTTATTTTTGAATGGGGATTTATTTAATTAATGAGTAGGTCCTATTAAAACACAAATGCTTTTAATTTTGCTTTTTCTTTGTTCCTTAAAAAACTGGCTGAGAATATATGTCTGCACAAATTGTACCTAATTTGCAAATTAACTACAGAAACACTGAACATTTCCCACATAACAGAGACATTTCAGTGGTGCATGACTGCAAAGATTAAAATGAGGTTTGGGAGGAGGTTCAAAGCCTAGCTCTGAAATTAGAATTTTGCATACATATATTATCTCATGAAATCCTTAGAGCAACTTCATAAGAGTATTATTGCTATACACATTTCACAAATAAGGAATTTGAGGTTTAGAAACTTCCTCAAACATAGGGTATTTGGCACAATGGTTAAAATGCCACTTGGGACACCTGCATCCCATATTGGAGTGCCTGGGTTTGAGTTCTGGCTCCACTTCTAATTCCACGGGAGGTAGCAGGTGATGGCTCAAGTATTTAGGTCCCTGTCACCCATGTAGGATACCTAGACTGAGTTTATGGCCCCTGGCTGTTGTGGGCATTTGGACAGTGAACCAACAGATGGAAGATTAATTCTCTCTCTCTCTCCCCTTTAAAATAAAAAAATTAAATAAATACCTTTGAAAAATACTACAAACAACTTGTCCAAGATAACCTTTACACAAATAGCTTAAGTAGAACTGCAAGCCATGTACCTCAAGTGACTATATTTTTTCCACAAAATTACACAGTCTTTCACATGGGAAGAACACATTTTTTATTTATTTTTCATCTTACATAATATCTAATATTAAACTCTTCATACCATAATCATTGCAAGTTAACAAACATATTAATATTCATCAGCTACATGAGTAAACTCACTTTGGCACAGGAAGCAAGATTTGGTTACACATCAACTGCAAGCTTCCTTTAGCTTCTTGGTGAAAGATTATCTCATTGCAGATGGGTAGAGGTGTGTTGGGAAATTTAAGGCCTCATCAACAATGACAAAAGAAAGAGGACCTTCTCAGAGGGTTGCCTGTAGGTGCCCTATGACAACTCTCAGGTGCATTTGTTTGAGAGGTGGGATCTAACCCATTCTCTCCTATGTATTC